GCCCCAATACATGTTTTTTTTTAAGATTTTTAAAAATTTATTTATTTGATAGACAGAGATCGCAAGTAGGCAGAGAGGCAGGCAGAGAGAGAGAGAGGGAAGCAGACTCCCTGCTGAGCAGAGAGCCTGATGCGGAACTCGATCCCAGGACCCTGGGATCATGACCTGAGCGGAAGGCAGAGGCTTTAACCCACTGAGCCACCCTGGCGCCCCACCCCCATCAATACATTTTTTTAAAGTGTATTCTTGGGGCACCTGGCTGGCTCAGTCAGTAGAGCATGTGACTCTTGATTTCAGGGTTGAGTTTGAGCCCCACATTGGGGTAGAGATTACTCAAAAGTAAAATCTTTAAAAGAAATGTATATTTTAAAAAATGTGTATTCTTGGGCTTCGCTGCAGGTGCCCTGAATCAGAGGCTCTGGGTGTGGGACCCCAGCAGCTTATCTTTTCACAAGCCCCCCAGGCCATTCTGATGTCTTCCCAAGTTTGGGAGCCACTACTCTATCCTACCATGCAAATTAGTGCCTCCAAGGGTCTTACCATCCTTTCTCATGACTGGCTTGCTCACATATTATTTATTGTCTGTCACCTTTCACTAGATTATAAGTTCACTCATGGTAGGGACTTTGTAATCCTTTTCTGCCAATGTATCTCCAGTATGTTGCACAGCACTTAGTATCTGCCAAGGATTTTTTGAGTAAGTAGAAGAATAAATGGATGAAGGAGAGAGGGGAGGAAGGGCTGGTTTGGATCAGAGAATGAATTTTCTCTGGGACCAGCTAAGTTTGAGGAGCTGGTGGGAAGTTATGGGGGTGAGGTGGGTCGTGGTTTCTCCCTCCCCACTGCGTCTCCCTTATCAGTTTTTAGGCCTCTGGAATGGTCCAAATAGTAACAAGGAGGAAAGGTTCTGGGATGCAGTGACTGGGGAGATGTTTGTGCTCAGGCGGAAGGGAAAATTCTGAGCTCAGGGGCTCCCAGCCCAGATAGGTAGGGGTTGGCTGGTGGAAGTCTGTCTAGCCCTCCCCTTAGCTGCAGGAGCAGGGCTCGAGGGCGAGGCAGTTGGATGGAGCCATCCTGGAACTTCTGCAAGAGCATCTTTAGGGGGAGAGCGTACAGAGCCGTCACACCATAGTTGGGGCATTGTCTGGAGGGCTGTGTGAGGGGGATGTATATGTCCTTTTAATACAATGGGACCTAAAAAGTTCGTGCCCCAATCCCTTCCCTGTCCCCTACCATGTCCCTTAGCTCCCCTGTGGACTTTTGCTCCGTGACCCGAGTGACAGTGGTAACTCTGAGTAGTGCCTTGGTGCTCATTGGGGTGGGGGAGACCCAGCACGGTAGATGATGGGAGTCAGCAGGCGTGGGCCACTGGTGCAGGAAAGCCTGCACCCTGAGCACCCCAGCAGCCGGGGTAAGGGGACAGGGATGCCAGCTGGGTCAGAGGGGAGGAGATGGGTCTGAAAAGTCCACTCTGGGATCCAGCCAGGGGAGTTCTGCAGGCTGGGAAACAGAAAGGAAGCTGGAGATATTTATGACATCTGTCCCACAGAAAGCCCAGCCCCAGGGGGTGCCCATTCTGCTCCCCACCCCTGCTGACACTCAAGGTCCTGCCTTGTTCACTGCCTCTTTGTCGCCTCACATCTGTCACTGCAGCCAGGCTGTCTCCTAATTGCCCCCCCCCCCCCCCCGCCATCGGGGCCTCCGCCCTGTGCTCTCGGTTTCCACTTCCAGCCCTGTCTGGGAAACCTCCATCCCAGCACCAGCTGCTCTCATTGCTCTGTCTCTAAGCCCCACTACACTGTACATTTCTGAAAGGTGAAGATTGACCCTCGTTTTTCTCCAGGCCCCCCACAGGACCTGGTGTAGAGCAGGTGTGCAATGTAACAGTGTTGAAGCAACTGTGTCAGATCAGGTAACCCCCTGGTTCGGGGCCCAGGCCTGGGGCTCCCTTCTGGACCCTCAACCCTCCTCCTCTCCCCTTTCTTTGGAACATTTGCTACCCTACCTCTTTCTTTTCTTCTGCATCTGAAATCTTTTTTTTAAATTATTTACTTATTTTACATAATCTCTACACCCAGTTGGGGCTTGAATTCATGTCCTGAGATCCAGAATCACGAGCTCTTTGGACTGAGCCAGCCAGGCACCCCTGCACCTGAAATCTTTAATTCTGTCTCCCCAGTGGTCACTGAGTCCTCACAGCCCAGCATGGAGCTGGTCACACAACGGGTTGGTTGATGGATAGAGCCTTCTCCATCCTGCTCCCCCCAGCCCGTGGGTCGACCACCAAGGGACAGGAGAAAGGCAGAGTCCTTAGGATGGAGCTGCCCATTCCATAGCCTACCTTGCTGGCTGGGGAGCTAGCACATCACACACACCTGTCCCTGCCTCCACACTCCTATCTCCCCCCTCCCACCTCTCTACAATCCTGCAACCCTATAGTGTTGGCCTGAACCTGAGGAAAGGGCTGATGAGGAGGAGTGTGCAGCTAAACAGGGGCCCTCCACGCCCCACTGCTCTAAGACTCCCATCTCTCCAGCTCCTCCCAGCGGGGCCCTTACCCCCACCCTCAGCGCCAGGCCCGAGGTGGGCCCTGCTCGCACCTTCGATGGGGGAGTTGATGAGGATGACGCGGCCCATGGGCGATGAGGCTCGGATTCCGCGGGGGGGCCCATTCAGCAGCCGCTGCTGCCTCTTCAGCAGGTATCGCGTTGCGGAGCCGGAGTCGCTGCCCAGGTGGCCTCGGGAGGAGAGGGAGCTCAGGGAGCCGGAGCTGAGGTCTCTGAGGCCCAGTGGGTCAAAGCCCACTGCAAAACCCTGCGCCATTGTGGCTAGCCTGGGGTGGCGCCCTACAAGTCCAGAAGGAACCTGCTAGCCCTTGCGAAAAGGGCCCTGCGTACTCCTCGGCTCCATGAGCCTTCTGTGCGGGGCAGGGGTCTCAGTACTGGGAGCATCCCACCTGAGCTGCTTCTTGGGAGTGTGCGCTCCAGGCCTGCGGATGGAGAGCAGGGATGGGGACAATGGTGTAATCACTGCCCTCGCTGCCCCCAGAACTTCCACCCTGGCCCTGATTTGAGCATACTGTCGTCCCATGCCTTAGGGCCCTCTCCTCTCCCGCCCCTGGCCCAGTCCAGGCACCATCGCAGACTTTTGGAGCCATTTCTACAAGGCCAGTGGGAGCCTCTCATTCACTCTTCATTCTGGCTCTCAGCTGAGTCATCTACCCCAGTGCCCAGTCCTGGGTAGAGTTGAGATGGATTCTTGCAGGTCCTAGGGCTTCAGATGGTGTGAAGGAAATTGGGGCCAGGACAATTCCCTGCACACCTTTCCTTGTGTTTGTGGGTAAGGGGCTCGGGTCTCTAGGGCAGGGCTTCAGGACCTAGGACAGCTGCAGCCGAGGGTCCCAGAGATTCCCCAACCACCATAGCTTCCTTGGTCCCATGCTGTTGTCCCCTCCGTCCCCCTCCTCTCTCCTCTAAAGAGGTGTCCTGAACCTCTCCCAGGCTTTGGCGGAGGACCTGCAGGCTAGAGCCCCACAACAACGCGCACAAAACCCGTAGCCAAGTCCCCCAGAACAGCTCTGGGACTCAGAACGCAGCATCCCACCCTCGGGTCGGTCCTCTCGGCCCCCACCTCTCCAGCTTGGCTCCCCTCACCTGCTCGCTGGTGCGGCCGCCGGCGGCCTCCCCCGCCCGTGGGCGCCCGCGTGCGCAGCAACGGGGGGGAAACCTCGCCCGCGCTCCGCCCAGGCTACGGGAATAAGGCGGGCCTGCGTAGGTGCGGGTACCCATTGGCTGCGACAGCCGCCAGTCACTGCCTCCGTCCCCTCCCTTGGGCGCTCAGGTCTGCAGTTTGTCACCTGGGCTGAGGCCGCTGGGTTCTGCCCGCTGCAGTTCGAGATCTGATGCCTTCCCCCGCCCCACGAACTTAGGGTTTGGGTCACGCCTCGTCCCCTCCCGCTACGGGTTCAGTGCAGGGGAGCCCAGAACCGCTTCTTCTCCAGGCCAAGCCAGACACTAGGGCTCTTGGAATTGCCACCCCTCCGCGTCACCCCCAAGGCATCAGTGAGGGAATGGCACCTGGGCAGAGGGGGTGTAAGCATTCGGTGGGCAGGAGCGTGGGCTGGCGCCTGGGTACGGGGCAGGCGTGCTCTCTGAGGTGACTAGGTGAGTTGTGAAGTGTGTGTGTGTGTGTGTGTGTACTGCCTTCTTTCACATGCATCCTCCTTCTGTGTCGCTAAGTGTCTCTCCGGCCACTCAGTTCTGGAAAGGGCACAGGGTGGAGCCACTGGTTCCACGACACTAGGGGGAGGAAGAATCGTTCTGATCCACTTGCTTGATGCAGACAGAGGTACCTTGAGCCTTCTGCCCCTACATATCCCAGGGCAGGGACTAGGGCTAAGGTCTGCGGTGCAGGCGTAGGGATTTGGGACAGAAGGAAACTGAGGACCCAGTGGAGCTAAGGGTTACAAGAGGCGGATAAGGAGGGGGCTGGAGGAAGAAAAGGGTGGGGACATAGGACACAGGCAGGAGGGAGACTGTGAAGGGCTGCGAATGCGGGAGTGCTGCGACAAGAGCTTGTGGGGACTGGGGTAGGAGCCCTGGGGGCCAAGGAGGCAGAGGCCGCTGCCCAGGCGGCCATCTGGCAACAAGCCGCGCGGTAATCCGAGACCCTCGGAGCGCACCATCAGAGGATGGCCCCTCCGCGCCTAGACACGTTGGGGCCGAGGCCGGGTCCCCCCAGAGGCCAGCTAGGGGACTGCAAGCAAAGGGGCAGCGCTCCCGCCGTCCCTCCCCACCTCTCTCTGGCTGGGGACTGGCCAGAACTGATTCCCGAGCCCTGATTGGCTCTGGGAGGCGGCGCTGGGCCAGGTCCCGGGAGCCCGGGCTGGGGGCGTCTCCCCAAATGGCACCCACCGCCCCCAGGCTCTGCCAATCCCTGGGCACGTTCGGGGAACGCGCGGAGGCGGGGAGCCCCTGCCCCTCCTGCCGGTTAGCGTCACGCGTGACGTTACGTGTGATGGGTGGGAGGGCAGGAGCAGGGGCGCGGCGCCTAGAGGAAGGCGGGTCTGCGAGCTGCAGAGGCCAGAAACCCCGGAGCTCAAGAAAGCGTGAGTGTCTGCTGTCCCGGGCGGGGTTCGGCGGTCAGGGGAGTAGGAGATGGGGGGCTAAGAGGGACGGAAGCCTGCCTTGAAGTGTGCTCCCTGTCCTCTCCGGACTCAGTATCTTTGACTCTAGGAGTCCTTGGGGCGCGAGGGGAGGCTGCTTGCGGGGAGGAATGTCAGGGTGGGGCCTCATGGGGCTGTACATTCAGGTGTCTGCCGCTGATGGCCATGGGTTGTGCGTGCATGTGTGAGCGTGCAGGTAACGGTCTTTGTGAGCTAGGGTATGCAGGGCGTGTCCTCCGTGTGTCTGTGTAGGGCATGTATGTATGTGTGTGGGTATGTTCGTGTGAGTGCGCGGGAGAGGGGAGGGTGTGTCTTCCAGGGAGGGAGGAAGTGTGGTTGGAGAGGATTAGTCATATTGTAGGATTTTGCCTAACACGGCCAGATGTTGCTTCAGGTTTTCCTGGGTGGAGAGGGCACTTACTGAATCCTTTTGGGCCGTAGGTGTGTTGGGGAGAGGTGGATGGGTGTCTGGGCCAGCCCCGCCCAGCTGGGGAACAAGGAGGGCCTGGGGCCATTCAGTGTGGGTTGAGGAAGATGCCCCTGGAGAGGAGACTGGGGCGTGCCCACTAGCACGCATGCGTGACCGGCATCAGCGTCCTTGACTTGAGATCTGGAATAGATAAGCCCCTGGGGTGGCCATTGAGCCCTTGCTCTCCTCCAATCAGGGGCTGGGGTTTTGGATGGCTTATGCCATCTTCCCCAACAGCCTTGGAAGTTTGCACCTAGGTCTCCAGGCAGCCGGGCCCTAAAGCTGACATGAACATGGATATATATGTATTTTTGTGCGTAGAGAGCACGAGAGTAACTACACAGGATTAGCTGCTGCTCTTGCGTCAACCATACACGTGTCAGCCCTCTCTGGTGAAAATCTGCACCAGGCCAGAGTGCAAAGGAGATCTGTTTTTCTGGTTCTATTTTCCCCTGCCCCCTCCTCCCGTGGCTGCAAGTCTCCGAGGCAGAACATTGCCTGGAAAACAGCTCCTCCCCCCAACCCTGCTAACCTATCTGGAGTCACCTTGAGCTCTGGAAGGGATTGGTGAGCGGCGCAGGGACTAGGGCAGGGCCCACCAGAGGTACCCACAGGCAGAGGTCTTGGACTCCCTCCTTGGAGTCCTCCCAACGCTGGTGTTTGCCCTGCAGAAAATGGGTGAGTTGCCCTTGGATATCAATATCCAGGAACCTCGCTGGGACCAAAGCACTTTCCTGGGCAGAGCCCGGCACTTCTTCACTGTCACCGACCCCCGAAATCTGCTGCTGTCTGGAGCACAGCTGGAAGCTTCCCGGAACATCGTGCAGAACTATAGGTAGACCACTACCCCGTCTGACCCTGTAGCCCAGAGCCTCATTCCCTGCCATGACTACAGTACCTTTTGCATCTATCTCCCCAAGCTTGAGAGTGACCCTGCCCCACTCCTCAACCCTCTTCTTCCCTGGCCTTATGTGTTGGACTCACAGTTATGGCACAGAGCTTTAATCCAGAGAGTCTGAGGGTGTTTGGGTTGAAGAGGTGGCATGGATATTGGTGGGCAGGGGACTACTGTCTATTTCATAAACCCTCTAAAGGGGCGTGTCCCACTGCTAGGCCACCCTCTACAAGAACAGAGGGTCTCAAAGTGGAGCCCAGGGAGAAGGAGAGCATCCCCCTTGTTTCCAGGAGAAAAAGCCCCTGTGATGCCCCTAGCCATTTCACTCCACTGGGAACCACCATCACCCACGACCAAGCACTGAGGCAGAAAGAGAAGGGGACCCCTCTCTGTGTGGCTACAAGGAAAACAGAAATAGGAACCTGCCTACTCTTCTGGGAAGATGTGGTTCTCCCACTGAGACAAGGAGCTCCTTTATTCTGAGATCGGGGGTCAAAGTTCCTTCTCCTCTGCCCAGATGTCCCCTGAGCTGAGTGGTCAGGCCTTACAGGGACAGATCTGCCACCTACAGTTACCTGTCTCCTCCCTGCCATTCTCTGCAGGGCTGGTGTGGTGACACCTGGGCTCACCGAGGACCAGCTGTGGAGGGCCAAGTATGTGTATGACTCGGCCTTCCATCCGGACACTGGGGAGAAGGTGGTCCTGATTGGCCGTATGTCGGCGCAGGTGCCCATGAACATGACCATCACTGGCTGCATGCTCACCTTCTACAGGCAGGTCCTGTCCCATGGGTCCTCTCCCTGAGTACTTTAGGCACGCCAGAGTGTAGCTTGATGACGAGGTGAGGCCGGGTGGGCCGAAAATAGTGGGTGGGTGAGAACTCGTGTTAGAACCCCAGACACCATGCGGAACTCAGCCCCAGGCACCCACTCCCCACCCCAGAGACAGGGTTTGTGGTTGTGTAAGTGGGGCAGGTGGGGAGGGTCGTGCGGGGGTCACCAGAGCAAGTCCTAGGGTCCTCAGCTGGGCCCCTCCTGCCGGTTTGGGAATAACCTCTGGGGTTGCATTATCAGGAATTTGAGGATGAGGGACACCATGGAGGGGGCAGAAGTAAGCATCTTTTTTCCCTCAGGAAGACCCCGACTGTGGTGTTCTGGCAGTGGGTGAATCAGTCCTTCAATGCTGTTGTTAACTACTCCAACCGCAGTGGTGATGCTCCCATCACTGTGAGGTGAGAGCTTGTACCCAGCGACTCCGCCCCGGCCTCCTGTTGTTCCCTCTTGTTTGCTACTGTTCCCCCAGTGCTTGTGCTTGTTCGGCTGATGCCTCAAAGCCCTCCTGGAGGCCTGCGCCTCTCCCCACTTTTCTGGCCTGAGGGCATGGCATCCCCTTGTGTGTGCTGTGGGGGCCTCTCCTCTTGAAAGGGAGGGAGCGGAGCTTCCAGACAAGCCTACACTGTGGCAGGGGAGGAATTTCTCTGCCTCCCATGCCTCATGTATGGAGGATTTGGCCTTTCCCTGAGAGAAAGAACTGCAGATCAGACTGCTCACCTCCCACACTGTGTCCTGACTCTTGTCACCACAGGCAGCTGGGGACGGCTTACGTGAGTGCCACCACGGGTGCCGTGGCCACAGCCCTGGGGCTCAAATCCCTCACCAAGGTAAATGCCCTCCACGTGCCCTTTATTCATCTCCCTTTTCCTCATCCCTCGTCCACACCAATCCACAGGCTCCCCACATCTCCCCCCAGAGTTCCTCCTACCCCATGGCCCTTAGGGCCACTAAGTGATATCTTCCCTCCCCCAGCACCTGCCCCCCTTGGTTGGCAGATTTGTGCCCTTCGCAGCAGTGGCGGCTGCCAACTGCATCAACATCCCCCTGATGAGGCAGAGGTGAGTGGCTCCCGCTCTGGGCACGCGCGCCCACCATGCGTGTGGGCATACCGTCCCGCCACACAGGTGAGCCCAGCCCTCTCCCTCCCCAAACAGAAGTTTCTGGGCACAGTCTCAGTCTGACTCTGGGATCCTGGGCTGGGAACAATAGCCTTTGACTCTCTGACACCTGAGGGGACCCCAGGGAACAGCTGCCCAAGAGGGCATTGCTGGTAAGATTTAGGGCCTGTGGTGTGACCCCCCCCCACCCCCTTTCTTTTTCAGGGAACTGCAGGTGGGCATCCCAGTGACCGATGAGGAAAACCAGAGACTTGGCCACTCAGTGGCTGCGGCCAAACAAGGAATCTTCCAGGTGGTGATATCGAGAATCTGCATGGCCATTCCTGCCATGGGTGAGGCACAGGCGCCTGGGTGGGGCGTGGGGTCTTCTCCAGGGGCTTTGAGCACTCTGGGGGCTGTGACGCTGGGGGGAGTGGGAGGAGCTGTGAAGGGTGATGTGTCTCTCCCGGGCATCCCGACGTTCACATCGCTAACTCCCTCCTTTGCCGCCCTCCTCTCTCTGCAGCCATTCCCCCCGTGATCATGGACACTCTGGAGAAGAAAGACTTCCTAAAGGTAGGTCACTCTCACCTTTCCCATCCTGGAAGTGGTGGTGGCTGGAAGCAGAAGTGACCTGCCCCCGAGCCTGTTTCCAGCTTGGCCTGAGTCCGAGACTTGTCACCTGTTTGCCCCACCCCTGTGCTGCCTCCTCCCCCTTCATTCCTTCAGCAAGAGGGGATTGGGCTGGGGTGAAGGAACCCTGAGGGGACAGGAGGAGAAGATAAGGGAAGGAAGGAAATGGTTTCTGTCCTGAAGAGAATCAGGGTCACTCCTGAGGCCTCTGACTCGCGGATGGATTATAACAATCACACCTGACAGCATATTCATGCTGTCACTACTGACAACAGTAAGACACACAGGCTCACACATGCACGAACAGAACAGAGAAGCAGGACACAGGAATATAAGCTCATTCACTGAATCTTTTATTCACAAGTATTGAGCACCAACTGGGTCCGTTGGGGGGAACAGAATGGTGGTCCCTGTGGCTGGAGTGAATCGAGAAGGGACAGGTTCATGGAGGCCACTAGGCCCGGAGGAAGTGAGTGGGGGATTCGAGGAAGTGTGGAACCCATTCGGAGAGGGGAGAATGGGTGATGGGACGCTAAGGAGGCTGTCAGCAAGCAGGCCTGGCGGAGGGGAGGGGAGGGGAGGAGGGGATGCAAACCATTCCACTGTCTCTGTCTCCCCACAGCGTCGCCTCTGGCTGGGGGCGCCCCTGCAGGTGGGACTGGTGGGCTTCTGGTAAGTGTGCAGAGACTCAGCTAGGGTGTGTGAGAGTGTCCTTCCCACGGTGGGCGTGGTGGATATTTATTGACTTTAAGATGTTCATGTACTTCATTCATTCATACATCTGGCTTGTAGGGGGTCTTGGGACATTTGTAGGGTGTGCTGTGGGTGATCTCCATCCTTGAAGGCCAAGAGTCTAGTCGAAGAGATACTTCTCTCTTTTTTTTTAAGATTTTATTCATTTATTTGACAGACAGAGATCACAAGTAGGCAGAGAGGCAGGCAGAGAGAGAGAGGGGGAACCAGGCTCTCCTCTGAGCAGAGAACGAGCCCAATGCGGGGCTCGATCCCAGGACCTGGAGATCATGACCTGAGTTGAGGGCAGAGGCTTAACCCGCTGAGCCACCCAGGTGCCCCTCAAAGAGATATTTCTAGTCTTCGTTTGTGAGAGGAAAGCAGGGAAATATACCTTTTGGTATCATCCAGGAGTTTCATGCACATTTAACTGCTGGTTCTGGCCCTCACTGTCGCTGCCCTGAGGCTCGTCCCTCGGCCAGAACCTAATGTCACCATTGGCTTTAATCAGTCTCCACCCCTAGGGGCTGTCTCCAGAGAAGGCATGGGGTGCAGGGAGGGAACAGCCTTAGGTCAAAACTTCACAAACCTTTCCAACACTTTTCTCCCCAGCCTGGTATTTGCCACCCCCTTGTGCTGTGCCCTGTTCCCCCAGAGAAGGTAAGCGCTGCCCCCCGGCTGGACTGGGGGCTCTGGGTGGGTCTCCATATCTGTGGAAGCAACTGCCCTTAGAGGCCTTCAGTGTGTTCCAGGAGGAGGGCTGGCCTGCCTGGCACTAAACTTATTCTGGGGCCGGGAAATGATAGTGAGCTGGGCCTTCTGGCCGCCGAAGGAGATTCCTCAGTCCGGGAGGAGGAAGGGCGGTGATCGCTTGGCCTGATGCAGGCTGGGTTCCGGGGATACTCAGCCCACCTCTGCTGTTCTGTTGCAGCTCCTTACCTGTGAGCAGGCTGGAGCCAGAGCTGAGAGCTCGGATCCGTGAGCAAAACCCTGACATCGAAGTGGTTTACTACAACAAGGGGCTTTGAGGGAGGGTCAGTCCCTGGCCCCTTCCCTCACCTCCTCGGGCTGCTGCTTTCCTGGAGCCTCACTCTCCCTCCCCTTCCCTTGCCCATCTGCCTGGTACTGGGTGGGGTCTGGGTGGGGGAGCCGCCGGGGAGTCCAGCAGTCCATTACGCTGAGAGAGGTGCCTCCATCCAGCCTTTTTCTCTCCTTTCTGGTTTCAAAGAGCAGGGCCACACAGTCCCTTTCTGCTGGGCTTCTCTGTCTACGTGTGCACGTACACGATACATGTGCGTAAGAGTGTGTGTGTGTGTGTGTGTGTGTACGTGCTGTTCTGGAAACTAGGAACAGATATGCTGTCCTAGGGTATCCCGCTATCTGGCTTCTCTTGGCATCTCGCCACCTGTCAGCCAGCCAGGCTACACGACTTTCCTGCCTCAACAGTTCCACTGGCCAAGTCATTTCTAGCAGCACCTCGCCCCTTCTAGATGCAGGAGGAGCCGTGGGATCTCAGCGCAGAGACTGAGGGACACTAGCCAGCCAAACTGGGCCGACTTCTTCAGAATTCTGGTTCCTAGCTCCCAAAGTTGACCTGGGAACTGGGCTGGCAGAGGAAGACATGACAGGATAAGGGAGATAGGCAGTTTAGGCATCCCCCACATCCTGAAATAGATTACCTTCATCCTCTCTCCTTTCTGAGAACAAAGGAGTGTCAGTATCCTGTAGCACCCCTGCCATCTTCCCATCTCCCCCACACCATAGTGTGGGCATCCTTAGGGACAACCTTCAGAGTTCTTGGTCTGCTCTGACATCATAGACTCTACGCTACGGTCCCAACTCCTTCCTCACACCAAAAAGCCATGAAGGCAGAGCAAACATTCCCCCTTAAGAGCTCCCACTGCCCCCTCTTACAGAGGGACACAGCTGTGGGAATGGTGCTTACCCTGCTCAGGTATCTGAGTGGATGGATGTGACAAGGACACCCCCAAGGGCAACTAGGCCCTGAGTGTACAATCTCAAGACAGGACACCTTGTGTTCTGTTGGCTCTTGTTAGACATTCGGCAGAAGTCCGACCTTAGCTCCTCTTTTTTGAGGCTTAGTCCTGCTCCTACCCCTACTCCTGCCCTCATCTCCCAAGAGGAAGAAGGGCCGGGGCATCCACAGGGGGTCCAAAGGAGAGGTAGGCTTGGGAATGGAATATATGGTGATACATTCATAGGGTACAGGGCTGGACCTTGACTCCAACTCCCATAAGCTATGGGTGATACAGTGAGTAGAGTGAGCTGGGCCTTCTGGCCGACGTCCTCTAAGAGCACTTCCCTTCTCTCCCAGCTATCTGCCACCAGCAACTAAAACTAGGATGCCATTGTTACTCAATAAAGTGAAACCCTGTCTACTTCTTGATCTTCACTTGATTCCATGTCCTGCGGGTCCAGGGAGAGCCGACTTCCTGCCTGTGGCCTTGCCTTCCCTCCCCACAAAATGAAGGTCTTAGTCTCTTCCTTCCCCTTCTGTAAGGAACTTCAGCTCCCAGCAGAGGGCGCGGTGAGATTAGAAAATCAGTCCTCCATTCGCACCCTGAGTACTAACTACCCTAGAAGGGATGTAGATGCCTTCCGTTTCCTTCTTTGCTAAGAAGGCTGATCACACACCTACAGGCCAACCCAGGCTCTGGGCTTCTTGGTTCCCTTCAGGCATTTGGCATGGGTTGGTAGCTTCTGGTTCCTGGGGCAGCCTCTGGAGAGAGGAAGGCTAGACGGCTAAGGACTGACCAGCTCCATCAGAGAGAAGTTAGGGCACCAGCACACCCTCCATACCTCTCCACACCCCATCAGTACAACACAGGAATAAGCCTGGCACAGACCATTTGCTGGTTAATACCCCCTACCCCCATCCCAGGGCCCTCCATCCCTCCTTATGCAACCCCCCCACCTTTTTTTTCCTGGGAAAACTGAGACCAAAATTTCACGTCTATGAACAGATGATGAGAGCTATTATTAAACAGTTTATAGCTGCATCTCTTACCCTAAGTCTTGGCTTTGGAAGATGCAAAAGAATAAACATGAATGAATCTACAGTAAAATCCATTGTCTACTCCAAGCAGGGCATAGCCCTTATTTCCCTTTGTAAGCTCAAACCTCTTGCAGTAGGTGATTAGGGAAAAATCTTTAGGGCCACATGTTCCCACAGCAGCCAGAAGTGAACCTGGTACCTAGGCCTGGGCTCGCTTACGCGTCTTGGGCCGTAGAAATTCACTTGTATGGGCAGTGGAGGTGACAGCAGCCACTGCTCATTGAACTCTATGTGTGGTGCCAGGCTTAATAAAGCCCAGTGCTTTAAGCCCATTATCTCTTATGATCTTCACAACCCACTGTGGGGCCAGACATGTTATATCCACTCTTAGAAAAAACACAGGCTTAAAGACATGTAAAAAGTTGCCGGCAGCTACACAACTAGGGAGTGGTAGAACCAGGATTCAAGCCGAGCCGTGTGACTCTGAAGCCGTGACGCTAAGCTTCTTCCTGACCTGCCAGTCCCCAGCCAAACTTGAAATAGTTCTCCTGGTCCCTTTGACATTTCAGGGCATCTCCTCCCTGGGCCCAGTTTGGTTACAGTCCAGCAAAACTGAGGCCCACAGTATACTCAGACCTTTTACTAAAGCCACAGAAGAGTTGAGGGGTTTATAGCTGAAGGAGCATGAGCAAAGATTCCTGTTCTTTAATATTTAATTTATTTGAGAGAATAAAAGAGAGAGCACAAACAGGGAGGAGGGAGAGGGAGAAGTACACTCCCCACTGAGCAGGAAGCCCCAAGCAGGGCTGGATCCCAGGACCCTGAGATCATGACCTGAGCAGAAGGCAGAGGCTGCTTAACTGACTGAGCCCCACTGGGTGACCCATCTTATTCTTTTTTTTTTTTTTTTAAAGATTTTATTTATTTATTTGACAGACAGAGATCACAAGTAGGCAGAGAGGGAGAGAGGGAAGCAGGCTCCCCGCCAAGCAGAGAGCCCGATGCGGGGCTCAATTGCAAGACCCTGGGATCATGACCTGAGTCAAAGGCAGAGGCTTTAACCCACTGAGCCACCCAGGCGCCCCAACCCATCTTTTTCTTGATTGAATTTGCGGCAACATTTGGAGTGGGCCCCTACCTGGCTCAGTCAGTCCAGCATGCGACTCCTGGTCTGGGGGTCATGAATTCAAGCCCCACCTTGGACCCAGAGCTTACTTTAAAAAAATTTTTTTTAATATGGGGTGACATTTAGAAGACACGTTTCAATTCCATCCTGTTCTGCCTGTCTTGAGTGCTGCCTCCCACCAAGCCCATGGGGCCCTGGGTCAACTCTTCAAGCCTCTGTTTGAAGGTACAGCTTTGGCCTTTGGTAACCCCCTTGAAAAGGGGCCTTGAACTTTTATTGGAAAATCCATGTAAAATAAACCTACTTGGGGAGTGAGGTGCAGGAATCTCTGTTAAAATCACTAAGAACATTTTATAATGTACTTATTTCGCTCTGCAGATAACACCAAGCCATATCAGAGAGACGACCAGCCAAGGCACTGGGGGGAACAGTTAGGAAGGAAGGCTCTCTTGCCATCTTTCCTTCCTAGTTCCACACCTGCTTCTCAGAGCAAAAGTTTGCTTTCAGCTCACTTCACCGGCTGGCTCTCTAGGGGCAAAGCCTAGCCAGGTACCTTTTCCAAACTGCTTCCAGACTCTTGGACTTTTTCCTCAGAAGTCAGCATTTGGGCAGAGGCAGCCCTTTTCTCACTGGAAAGCGATCTCCCCCATTCTTGGGCCTCCCTTTCTCCTCCTCCTGCTCAGACTCTGGGACCCTTCTTTGGGAGCCTACATCTGCGTCCTTGGTCTTCCTCCCAGCCTTCTTCCCCTGGCCTGGCCTCATCTGCTCCAGAGCCCCCACCTTGCCCATTATGAAGACCACAACCCTCCCTCTCTCCCAGCCCATCCTCTAAGGAGGAAAAGGGCTCCCCTCTGGCTTAGCCGGGCCAGAGGGAGGGGGCCAAGTCAGTATATCCTGCTCTGTTCTGGGGTCCCCTACTCTTTTCTAGGGTCACTGAGGCCGGCATCTTAGGGGCAGTGGTGAGGGCCAGTTTCAGCTCCGGCGCTGTGGGCGCATGCCAGCCAGACTAGGCTAGTCCCCTGTCCCCTCGCGGTGCCCGACCAATCACAGCCAAAGCCCTGTTTCCACAGTCCGGCGTAGGTCTCAAGCCAGCCCCGCCCTGGGGGTGGGTGGGTGCCTGTCAGTCATAGGTAGGCCACGCCCCCCGAGGCAAAGCCAGTCTGGCGCAGAGTCCCGCCCCTGCTCTGGCCCCTGTCAAAGTCAGGCTCGGCTCCACCTCCTTTCCGTTTCCCAGGCAACGGCTTTAATCGTCGCTGGCCCGAAATGCGATTCATCTTCCCGGTCTGAGCGAGGAGCTCAGATCCGCTTTCCGGGTGACCTCGGTCCCGGACCCTTAAATCCGCCAAATCGCCTCCCTCCTTTCCAGTTTCGAAGCCCAAGAGCACCTCGGCGCCCGCCCCTTGACTTCCTGCCCGTAAATCCGCGAGGTTTTCGAGGAATCGCGCGAGGCCTCTCCCTCCTTAGGTCCCAAGCCTGGGTTTTTTCGCGGCTTAAGAAGCTATCCGCCCTGCCTCTTGCACCTGCCTCGCACAGTTCAGGAAACGTTTACTGAACTCTGCTAAGAGTGGCTCTGTGGCCGAAGCTGAGTAGAAATGGCCTGTTGAGTGAACCGAGGGCCTTCCCAGCTGCAGGGACACAGCCTGTGCCCAGCAGTCATTAAGCCTCTCTCCATCCCCTCCACGTCAGAATCCCTACCTGTCAGCGATCTCGGGCCCGCTGCAGATGTATTCTTTTGCTAGGAATCTTGGAGGGATCTTGACCGGGTTGCATCATCCCCTCCAAGGGAGCTTCCTGGGCAGCTCCCTCCTCTCTTTCTAAATACACACACCTTTTACCTCCCGGGCAGTTGTTCCAACCCTGGCTGCC